AGTTACGGCTGTTAGTTACGTACGAAGGATATATGGATGATATACGATCAAAATAATAACAAACTCAAATTGTAGAAGTAGAAGGAGATTATTTAAGTCATTGCATGATTATGCATTAGGTTCTGTGTATCCAAAGATTTCAAATGTCTATGATAGCTTTAGAATTAGAAGAAAATTTTGGGCAATCGACCAGCTACTTCTGCAAATAAACAAGTCACTGAAATAGTAGCTATAAAGTGATAAACGTAATATTTATACAATCACTATGATTCACATAGCCAAACCAATTTTCTAAACAATGTTTATGCCATTAAAACTTTACGAACATTTTGTGAATCCAATACTTAAATAAAGTGGCTCACCTTAAAATCGGTAGTGGTTACGATCAGCTTAACTGGGAAACAAATTCGAACAATGCCGATATATTTTTAAGATGTCCGAAATCAAAATAATGGTTACAGTGGTGACTTATTCAGAGGAAGAGAAACACAAAATTATCGAGGAATTCCATTTATCACCATTAGAGCATCAAGGGATTTCTAGAACAATTAAGCGAATTAAATTACACCATACGTGGAAAGCTTGAAGAAAGATGTTATAGAATTAAAAAAATGTACCTCTGCCAGATTAACAAAAGTAGCAATCACAACAACTCAGCAACCCATGGTAGTAACAACAACGTCTACAGCTACTAAGCCATTTGAGAAAATTTTCTTGATTGTTGGGCCACTCGAAACATCAACTGAAGGAAACGCATACATCCTCACAATGAGGACGATTTAACAAAATTTTCAGCGGTTCCATTAGTAGATCATACAGCCACAACTCTATAGTTAGAAAGGTTTTGTTGAAACATTTTGTTTTGTTCACATGAATACCAGAGTCAATAGTGACGGACCAAGGACAAGATTTTAAGCAAAATATTTACCGCGTTGTAAACTGCTTCAAATAGATAAAATCAAACCACGGCGTATCACCTCAATCAAACGGCGCGTTGGAGAGATCACACCGAACGTTAGCGGAATATTTAAGACATTTCGTCAATGATAAAACAAAACTGGGACCAAATTAGCATATTCTATGTTTGTATATAATAGTTCGTTCATTCTACAACTGATTTCAACCCTATGAACTTGCTTATATAGACAGTTGAAGTTCATTAATTCACTTAGTAGGACACCACAACAAAAACTATAACTACGAAGATTATACTTTGAAATAAGAAATAAGTATCACATAAAATAGCGCGATAAGCTAATGAATGGAGATGAAACAGAAATCAAAAAGCATATGAGGAAAGCAGCATGAAATTATCATTAATGTTGGTGATAAAGTTTAGTAAAGATAATAAACAAAGTGGTACCATAATCCAAATGGATGGGGCCATATTCAGGTTACTGCTCTTCATGATAATGAAAACGTATCCATACAACGTGACGCAAAGAAGTAGTGATACACAAAATCAACTAAAATATTTAACTCATAATATAAATGGAAATCGAATAACATAATATATCAAGAATCAAAATTTCACTAAAATACAAAATTAAAATAATCTAAAATAAAACTTGTACCAATTGTTTCAGAGCACTATGTGCAACTGGACCATGTATAAAGCAGATTCATTATATAATGTTTCAGACAAAAGAATCGTCTGGAATTTATTTCGACTTCATTTCCGATATGCGAACAGTTGCAGCTAATTGGGAAATCACAGTATACTTGAATATAACAATTTACTATACACATTACATAGAAGTTAGAAGCTTACAAGAAGAAACATTATCGATTTGTAATGAAGCTACTAAACGTTTTGAAAAATGATTGTAACTTTTGTGTTTTAGCAAAAAATTCCACACAAATGACACGTGTTTAAGTTTTAAATCAGAATCAGATAAAATTTTAAAGAATTTGAATCAGAAACTAATAACCTTCTTCAGTAATTGGCTGACAAAATCATTACAGTCAAAGACAATTATTATTTGCGAAACATATAGGGAGATATGATTATATTGTTTGGAACACACTTAAATGATATTACAAATGGTATTCAAACATAAAATATGATAAAAATGGTAAGAAATTTCAAAGCATAGTAGAGAATAAAATGATGATTACTTCTGCTAGTACAAATGATGATGCGATAATACTTGATAAAAACAATAGAAGCAACAACAGAAGTGTCAAATAATATTAGAAAATACCGTCATTATATTACTTCGGATAAGGACAACTTAGCGATGAAAATATGGAAATAATTAAAAAATCAAATTCTAAATTTAGAAACAATTTATAACCAATACTTTAGAATTGTGAGGGTAAACCAAATTTTGCATTTTGCTATACAGGGAAAACTTCACCCATTAGTTATCCTCATCTCAGTTATTAGAAGAAATGAAAATAATTAAATTAAATCTTCCATCTAATCTCGACATCCCAGTAAAACTAGACCTATCGGATATGTCGGAAATTTTAAAATTATGCAACAAGTATAAGTTAGAATAATGATGTACTATGCTATTAACACTATTCACATAGTTTCTAGTAGTTTATATAATTTATATAATATTGTCTCAACCCAGTGCTAGTAGAAAACAATCTTTTATGTTAATAAAATCAGGATAAGTATATAAGCCAATACCTGATCAAGAATATTATGAACTTAGATCAAAATGATCTAATATGTGCTATGACACAAAACAAGTAAAATATGTAAAAATTTTTATACAAAAAGAGTAATGACATCTGAAGACTGTGAAATAAAGTAATCACTAATACAAATTTGTCCAACATTGATAATGTTTGTAAAATTAAATTCACGTCAATAAAAAACGGTATTTTCCATATAATGTCAACAAATTCATGGTTGTATGTTGTGCAAATCAACAAAATTTAATTATTTCTGTTCAAATAGAAGCAAATTATAAAACAAATTTTTGGGACAGGAATTATATCACTTAGCGAACAATGTTCGGCTGCGTCTGGAGGTTATCATATGATACCGTTCAGAACCATATACTCCGACATAGACTCAGATATTAAATGAACATAAATATAATTACTACAATTCCTACAAAGTTTTTAATTTAAACAATTTAATACCTTCGGAATCTATTTTCGAAAATATGAAGGATATGAAATTGTCACGCAGAATTAGCACAAATAATGAGTCACTCCTAGTAAATTTAATTTATAATTTGCATCTGCACATCACTAATCATTATATCTATCTTAAGCATAATAATAGTATACAAATGTAAAGTAAACATGTAAACCAACCGAGTTCGACGGACCCATCCAACATAGAACTCGAACTAGCTATATAGATGAAGGAAAAATCATCACCCAAAATAGTTCTCAAAACATAGCCATGATCTGCCCAACCTGGGGTGTTATGTACGCATTACAGCTATTAGTATAGTATAAGTCTTTGTATTAAATATAAGAGTATATTATTGTAGTCTATCGATAACGCTTAATGTGTAGGCGGCTCTGAGAATATTGTAACTACGCGACATCCGCGAGCGAGCCGCAGAGTCAGTCGATCCAGCACTCTTAAAACTGTACGTCGTCTCGACGACCATTAACTTATTGTACATTGGACTAAATGCTCCGACTCATTTTAAAATTATATTAGTATAAAAAATTCTTATAACTGTGTTGTACTTTCTCTAAAAAAAAATCTGAACCTCACACTACCGAAAAACAACGTTCGAACGGAACAACCCGGACGAGCACAACACCACCATGCAGCACGCATGTATCGCGCAACGGCCACCATCCGCGGACTGCCCCGGCGCCCCGACCAGCCACGCCACCTATGACCTCCTGCCGTCCACCAACCGCCCGAAGCGTTCAATGTCCACCAGCTTTTCGTCGGGCACATATTATTACCGTCCACAACGTCTGAGGACTTGTCCCAGACGTTTTCTCGATTTGGAACGGTGTTGAATATCCGCATTAAAAACGGCTTTGACCGGACCAGTAAACAAACTGAGTTCAATTACGGCTTCGTGTCATTCAGTGGGCCCAAAGGCGTTGATGCCGCGCTTGCCGGTACACCGATCACGCTGATCAACGGCAGTCGGGTCAATGTCAACAGGCCCAAACGCCAGTAACACCAATGCATTCTGGTACCTCATCCTCATCTCTCATCTCTCGATGTTAATCCTTAGTAAGCCAACCAAAAATGATGATAACAATTTAATTTTTTTTTTTTTTTTTACACAATTATGATTTATTATTTTTTTTGATGAATTCAAAAGTTATAAAATTTCAAATCGGAGGTTTTTTAATATATTTTTGAGGAGTGGGACAAATAAGTCCCATTGGTCATTTAAGCGGTATACTTAAAAGTCCCTATAGTCCGTTACAGCACTACTATTTTTTTATTTATGATAAATAATAATTTTAAATTTAATCATAATTTTATGATAAATAAGTAATAATTAATTTAAATTTAATTAATTAATTAAAAATATAATGACTATGTAAAATTATAATATAATTCATTTTTAAAATTAACAACAATATAAACTTAAAGAAAATAGTTATTGTATCAAAAAATAAATGGTCATTTTTTTTTACATTGTAGATTCTAGTTAGAACATAATGAATCG